GCGCGCGTGCGTGCGTCGCCCGTCCCCGACGGCGTCGGCGTCGGCGCCGCCGCCGCGCGGCCGAACCCTCGTGTCGCGGTATCCGTCGTACACGGCGATCGAGGGCGTTTTATGCGTGCGCGCGAGGGGGGTTCGGAGATAAAAATCGACGACCCCGTCGCGCGGCGTCGATCGGGCGCCCGGGGGGGTCGGTGGGGTCGTATTCGCGGGTACGTGAAGCCTGTCTCGTGGACCATCGCGCGCGAAGATGGGGGTGGATAAAAACTGGGACGTGGGTGTCTGAACCCTACGAAAAGACCCGCGTGTGCGGAACCGTCACGAACGGCGACGTCGACGGCGGAAGAGACGCGGCGACGGCGACGCCGGGAGAGACGCGCGCGATGGCGACGACGGCGGACGATCGGTTCTCCACCCCGCGGCGGGCGCGTGGGGCGACGCGCGACCGCGAGGTGAAATCACCGCGACGTGACCGCGGTGGCGTCAACGGCTCGAGTGGGAAAATCTCTGACGATAGCGCGGCGCCGATGTTCGCGACCGCGGGGGAGGACGAGGGGGAGGACGACGACCCGTTCATCGCGCAGTTGAGCCAAATCGCGCACGAGCCGCTGTGGGTGCACGTGGGGGGGGAAGAGGGGGGGGGGACGGCGACGGCGTCGCGCGGACGACGCGCGCGGGGGAAGACGTTCAACGACCCGGTGCACGGACACATGTACTTTAATCCGAAACTGTGCGACGTGATCGATACGGCGCAGATGCAACGGTTGCGGGAGCTGAAGCAGTTGGGGACGTCGTATTACGTGTTTCCGGGGGCGGCGCATAATAGGTTCGAGCACTCGCTCGGGACGTGTCACCTGGCGAATACGGTGTTCGAGTCCATCAAGAGGAGCGCGCCGGTGGGGCGGTCTTTAGGGCTCAACGCCGAGGATAAACTTTGCGTACAACTCGCGGGGTTGTGTCACGACGTCGGGCACGGGCCGTTCTCGCACGTGTTCGATAACGAGTTTTTGCCGTTGCGGCACGGATGGGATCCAAAGGAGCCGGCGCCGTGGAATCACGAGCGCATGGGGCGGATATGTTTACTTGGTGTTTGGAAGATAATCACATCGATCTAGAGCCACACATCGTGCGTAGGGTGTGCGATTTCATCACTAGCAACGAGGAGGGGACGAAGGAGAAGCGGTATCTGTTTGACATTATCGCGAACAAGCGAAACGGCATCGACGTCGACAAGTTTGAGTATTTGCTGCGCGACGCCTACCAAGCGGGCGTGCGCATGAGCGTGGACACGATGCGGTTAACGTCGCACATGAAAGTGATCGACGATAGGATATGCTTCAAATCTAGCGAGGCGAACAATGTGTACGCGCTGTTTCACTCGCGGGCACGGATGCACGAAAGCGTGTACACGCACAAGAAGGCAAAGGCGGTGGAGTACATGGTCGTCGACGCCCTGGTCGAGGCCGACGCGGCGTGGAACGGACGAATTAGCAACTCAATCTGGGACGTCAACGAATTCATCAAGATGGACGACACGCTTCTGAAACAGATTGAGTTTAGTGAAGATCCGGCGCTCGGTCGGGCGCGTGACATTGTTCGCCGACTTCGCCGTCGCGAGCTCTATCGTTTCGTCAACGAGTACACGGTACCGGAGGAGCGAGTCGTGGACTTTAGGCCCGTCACCGCGGAGGACATCACTTCGTGTCAGGGCACGAACAGGATTCCGGGCGGTTTGAAACCGCAAGATGTCATCGTACAGTCGCTCAAAATCGACTACGGAAAGAAGCACCTCGATCCAGTCGAGAATGGCGTCCGCTTCTTCCACTACTGGGACGACGATACCTCGGTGAGCATCTCGAAGGACAAAATCAGCTCGCTCCTTCCTAGAACCTTCGTCCAGCGCATCGTGCGCGTCTTCAGTCGACGCAGAGAACCGGAGTACATCGAGGCCATCGCGCTCGCCTTCTCCAACTTCCAGCGCCGACAACTCGGCGAGGAGGCGCAAATCACCCCGATGAAACGTCAACGCACCCGCTCACCCGACTCGCACGCCACGCGTTAAGTCGTCATCATCAAAAACATAGCATCATCGCTCGCATTCATTCAATATTCATAACTTGCCGTTCCGTCCTTTGCCCGCGACGCCGCGGGACGACGACTCCACTCCCCGAGGCGCGCGCGATGGACGGTCTCGCCCGAGACACCGTCCTCGACCCCGCCGGTCGTCACGACCGCGTCACCGCCGCGCACGTCCTCTTCCTCACCTCACTCATGGCTGCCGCGAGCGCTTTAGGCGCGGTGCCGTACGCGGTCGCGCGGGCTCGGACGAAATCCAAATCCATTTCAGCGCTCGCCAATGCGTGCGCGTGCGGCGTCATGCTCGCCGCGTCGTTCGATCTCGTGCACGAAGGACAAGGACACGGACCGTTTCTCACCGCGATCGGTCTCGGCGTCGGCGCGTGGACGATATCGAAAGCGCAGGCGTGGTTGAGCGAGCGGGACGAAGGGTTGCGGTTCGGTTCGTTGCGAGGCGCGGACGCGCGAAAGACGATGATGATGATCGGCATCATGACGGCGCACGCATTGGGCGAGGGGTGTGGGGTGGGGGTATCGTTTAGCGGCGATGGTGGACGAAGAAACGGTCGAGTGGTGACGCTTGCGATCGGGGCGCATAACGTTCCGGAGGGCATGGCGGTGGCGAACGTCTTGGCGAGCCGAGGGGCGAGCGCGTGGACGTGCGCGATGTGGTGCGTGATCACGAGCCTGCCGCAGCCCATGTTGGCTGTGCCGGCATTTTTGTTCGTGGAGACGTTCGAGCGATTGCTGCCCGTCGCGCTCGGGTTCGCGGCGGGGTGCATGGTGTGGATTGTGTTCGCCGAGCTCTTGCCGGATGCGCTCGCCGACTCGAGCGACGCGAAGAGCGTGGCTACGACGGTGACTATGAGCGCGGGGGCGTTGGAGCTATTTAGAGTGGTGTGTGAAGGATTAGAGACGCTCTCCGAGGCGAGCGCGAGCGACGGTGCGCTCGGGGACGCCTCAAGCGCGGTGGGCGTGGGATTAGCGGCGAACCTGTACGCGCCCGTTGGAGCGCTCACACTCACACACGTATTTCCGTCGCTGGCATCTCCGGCGCTCATCGCGCCGGGGACAGGTATGGGTATCGCTGCGAGCACGGCGGGAATAAGCGCGACCTTTCGATTGTTGTGGGCGATTTGGAGAGGCGTCACGGGCGGCGCCGAAGCTGTTTTATTCGTCATCTTGGGTGGACTTGTAGCTTTGCTCAGCGGTGTCTTGGCGTTGAGATGGACTGGTAAGTGTCCAAGTCTGGCGGATATGCGTCCATGGAGCGACATCGATGACGATGACGCACAAGAGGTCGACATCGAGGGGCGTGTGTTGACGCGGCGATTTGGGAACGTTTTGTTCACCAAGGAGGCTGTGTTGGCTTTTCTCGCGGCGATCGTATTTGCGATCGCCGACGGCGCGCACGCAACGACCGCCGTTATATCGAACTCGTGGTACACGCTTTTACCCGCGTTGATGCGCGCGGGCATGAGAATAGTCGCTCTGGTGATGATTGTTGCGTCGACAGATCGTCGCCCGTACGTCATCGGTGCCGTTGCAATAATCGGCGCGGCATTCGTCGGCGCAGTGAGCATCTTGGGAGTCAACCATTCCTCGAGCGGGACGTGCCTGTTTTACGACACTGTCGCGGCTGTGTTGACTCTGGTGTTCGTTCAAGCGTTGAAACCGTTCATCGTGTTCGCCATGATGACGAAATCGAGCGACCTAGTTGCCGGCGTCATGGCGGGTGGAGCCGTCACGACAATCTTCGCGGTGAGCACGTGGGCGATGTGCGCGGGCACGAACTACTGCGACATTTCGAGCGCGTAATTTGTACGTGAAATCTATTATGTAATCATACAGCTGTACTTTCTAGAACAATAGAGTCGTCGTGCTGTGAACACCGTCGTAAATCAAACGCTGCGTCATGGGGATGTACTGTCGCGTGACAAGTTTGATAATCTCTTGACTGGCGATACCTCCGATAATGGAACCGACGGCGTTAAGTTGGCCGTTACCGTACCTCGTATACTCATAGAGGACATCGTCCGCAATTTTCGCCGTGGACTGGTCGAGCTTGATACCACGCGGTTGCAAAACATCTCTCGTCATGTGATCGTGCAGCACCTCCGCGTCGCGACTAACAAACGCATCTTGAGACATCGGTAGCCCAGTTTCGGAATCGATAACAGATTCGGGCTCAACACCTGGATCTCGTCCACCCGGACCTCTGAACGCGGAAGCGGCTCGAAAAGCGGCGAAGATGAATGCGGACACGGTTTTGGAAGGATCTGAAATCGCATCCTTCAGTAGCGTCGCTGCTCCGGAAGTCACCGAGGTCGAAGGATCCAGTTCATCCGCCATTGTTCGCCACGTCATGAAGCGAACATGTCGACAGTGCTTGCAAAAGGTCTTTGCGTCTTGTTCGGTGATGAGATCTCCTATGTAGCCGACTCTTGCTGCGCGCTTGATGGCGCTCTGCCAAACGACGCAAGCATCTCTATTCGCCTTGTCGGCGTATAGTCGCTGAAGTTCGACGTACGACTCCGTCGTACTGATCATGTCCGGGATGCTCCCTTCTAGCGGTAAGCATCCCTCGCTACTGATAAATTCCCGCAAACCTGCGGCTAAAAACCATCCCTTGTCGCTCTCTGCGGTCAACTCTATCGCTCGACGATCACGTGTGAGCGCTTCAATCTCCGGCGTCACCGCCCCCGTGTCCGTCCACGCATACCGCATGTTCGCAAAAGCCTCGTCGAAATTCTCTTCATCTAAACCCCTGCGCATTGACGTCAAAGCATCTTTCACCGCGCGCCTATCACTCGTCCCGCACTGCGCCGCTGCGCTCGCCAGAAGCGCTACAAATGGTACGTGCTTAAACGCCGCCGCGTCCAATCGATCCAAATCGCTCGTCTTCATCTCCACGTACGCCTGTAACTCACTCCAGGGATTCATCAATCGCAGATCCTTCGTCACTGAGCCCTCCGGTGTGACGTTCTCCATCACCCAGCGCGCGTTTGCGCTCGTCTTACACTCGGCGAACAACCCGCACGCTCTCGTCGTCGCGAGCACGACGTCACCCCTCTTCAGCGCCCACGCCTCGAGCTCCTGAATGTATTCGTCACCCACCCACCATCCATCGACGAGTACCACATCCACACCCTCCGATTGCGTCAAGGACTCCGCGATGTTGACCGATCCGCGCGCGCTCGATTTCGTCCACGTCCCGCCGACGTCCGGATTCAACCGCGCGAGCCCCTTCACGCACGCCTCAGCGACCGTGGACGTCGAATCCATCTCGGCATCGATCTCGATCTCGAATAGCTCGGAGAGGCATCGCGCGCGGGCGTCCGGGCGTGAGGGCGATGCGAGTAGGGCGTCGTCGACGAGGTGGAACGATTTGATGCCACCGAGAATCAAATTCTTCAACGCCTCGCACGTCGATGGCGTCGCTCCGAACGCCAAGACGCGACACTCGGACACGCGACGTTGACCCTCCGGACCCCACAGGCGGAGCTGGCGGTCGTAGCGCTCGGTAGACATTGCGGTGCGGCGAGTAATCAGGCTCGGAGACCGAGAAACCACTTTGTCACTGTTCGACGCGTCGAGGCGTCGTTTGCTTATGTCGTTCGCCGCGTGCGCGTTTCTCGACGCACGTGGTGTCATCGCGTCTACCGCGCGCGTCGTGCGACGAGAGACGAAGCGAGGACACGATGCGACGCGACCAAAGTCGTCAAAAAGCAACCTCGACGTCACTCGAAACAAAACCGACGCCGCCGCGCCTTTGGACGTCTACGACCGCCGCGCGCGCGCGCACGTGATCGGATTATGCGCGTGCATTGCCCTGGTGAACCCACAGGGCGCGAACGCGATCACGGAGAATCAAATGTTATGGCTCGAGGCGTGGCGCGCGGTGGACAAGGCGTACGTCGACAAGACGTTCAACGGCACGAATTGGTTCAAGCTCAGAGAGAGTGGGATCAAGCAGCTCGATTTATCCGATACTGACTCGACGTACGAGGCGATTCGGGGGATGTTGCAGAAGTTGGACGATCCGTTCACGCAATTTTTGGAGCCGGAGAAGTACGCGAGCGTCACGGATAGGACGATGAAGGCGGACGTGAGCGGGGTCGGGGTGGAGATGGGATTTACAGACGATAAACGAATCATCGTCGTGGCACCCGTACCTGGGGGGCCGTCCGCCGAGGCAGGGGTGAGGGCGAAGGACTTGATCGTCGAAGTGGATGGGTCGGCGACAAAGGGCAAGAGCCTGTATGAAGTCGCGGACGAGCTCTCGGGGCCGCAAGGGAGTAAGGTGACGCTCACGGTCGATCGCGACGGGAAGAAGGAGCAGATCGTAGTGCAACGACGACGTTACACCGTGATTCCGGTGACGTCGGAGAAGTGCGACGTTGACGGTGGGAAGAAGATTGGATACGTCAAGCTCTCGACGTTCAATCAAGTCTCTGGGAAGGAGACGAAGAAGGCTCTGGAGCAGCTCAAGAGCGAGAACGTGGACGCGTACGTATTGGATTTAAGGGATAACGTTGGAGGGCTGTTTCCGGGCGCGTTAGAGATCGCCAAGGCATTGATAAACGAGGGGACGATCGTGTACATCGCCGACTCCACCGGTGAGCGCGATGTCTTCGAGGCGGATCGAACCGCGCTCGACGCGAAGACGCCGCTCAAGGTTCTCGTCAACCGAGGCACGGCCAGCGCCTCGGAAGTTCTCAGTGGTGCTCTGAAGGACAACAAACGCGCGGTGATCATGGGTGAGCAGACTTTCGGTAAGGGTTTAATCCAAACGTTGGTGCCGCTCTCCGATGGATCCGCCGTGAGCGTCACCGTCGCCCAATACCGCACACCCTTGGGCACGGACATCAACAAAATTGGAATTACCCCGGACCGACCGTTACCTCTCGATGCAAACGGTACGGACGCGGTGCCGTCGAACGCGCAGGACTTTTGCGCGTACGCCCGCTCCGCGCCGTCGCTCTTCCTCGACTGAGCGTTGTAACGAACGCTCGACGCGCCACATCCCGCCTCGCTCCAACCTCGGATGTCCCACTCTACTGGCACCGCTCGATCGTGCGCGCGCGCGCTCGAACGCGCGTTCACATCGACGAGCGCGTCCGCGAGCGCGTCGGCAGAGTCCGCACCGCGCGTCGCACTCGCCAGCCGGTCAGCCACGCGCTACGCGTCCACGTTCACCGCGAACGCCGACGACGTCAACGACGTCGTCAAGCTCTACCGGGGTCCACACATTAAACTCTTTCGAGCGTTGGTGCGCACTAAGATCGCGCAGCTCGGCGCCGCGGTCGGGTTGGCGACGCCACTGTTCCTGAGCGCGAGCGACGCGAGCGGGACGCTCGCGTTCGCCGGCATCGCGTGCGGCGTCGGCTCGGGCGCGTGCAGCGCCGCACTGCAGTACTACGCGAGACGGTACGTCGGGGAGTTAGCGTTGGTCGATCGGGGTAAGAAGCTGCGCGTGAGCACGATGGATTTTTGGGGCGCGAGAGTGGACGAACGATTCGGCGTCGAGCGCGTCAAGCCGCCGCTCTCGAATCTCTCCAGAGGTGAGCTCGAGGAGATCGCCAATCGGACTTTCATTCCATTAGACATTATCGGTGAGCGACAGTACGTGGTGTCTCTGCGACACGGTGATTTACTCGACGCGAAGAAATTATTCGCCGTGCTCGGCAGCGACGCCGACGCGCGTACGTCTCACGCGACGTCGCCACGCACCGGCCGAGATGCGTCGGAATAGTCGATGACCGATTCAAACCAATCTGTCTAGCCCCACACGGGCCTCTACACCGACCATCAAAATATCGAGCGCGTCGGACGCGTCAGTGTTCGATGCGCCGCGCGCTGCGCGTCCCCGCGTACCTCGCGCGTCTCGTTCCCCGTCGACGTCCATCTCTCGTCCGCGCGATGAGCGACGTCCCTCTAACCTCACACCGCTTTTGCGAGCGATGTCGAGGCGAGGGCGCCACGTTTTCGCTCTCAAAAGCGCAGCGAATGGCGAAAAAGCGAAAAACTGAAAACACAGAAAACGACGCGAACCAAGCGCCGCTACGGCCAGAGAAGCGTACGGAGTGCGTCGAGTGCGGTGGTTCTGGTGTCGTTGAAGGCGTCGTGGACGTTCGATCGACGAAGGGCGTGGCCATCGTGGGCGGCGGTGTGGGTGGCGCCGCGCTCGCGCTCGCGCTTCGGCAGCGCGGCGTCGAGGCGACGATTTACGAGCGCGACGCGAGTTTCGAGGCGCGAAAGCAAGGGTACGGGTTGACTATGCAAAAGTATTCGGGTGGACAGGCTCTGAGGGCGCTCGGATTACGGTTAAGAGGGGTCGGGAGCGACGCGCACGTGAGTCTTGACGCCGGCGGCAGAGTGCTCGGCGCGTACGGACACAGTGAGCGAGAAGCCGCGAAGGATGATGCGGGGACGAGCGGAAGGGATGAGATTTCAGAGGCAGTGAGTGATGAGAAACGAAACGTGCACCTGCCTAGGCAAAAGTTGCGGCAATCGTTGTTGGACGCGCTCGAACCGGGGGTGGTGCGGTGGGGGAAGCGATTGGATCGATACGAGGAGACACGCGATGGCGTGACGTTGCGATTTGACGATGGTACGACGGCAAAGGCGGGAATTCTGGTCGGTGCGGATGGGATATTCTCTCGCGTCCGGGCCCAGAAATTGGGGGAGGATCCTTTGTCGTATCTGGGCGTCCTCGTCGTCTTGGGCATCTGTCGCGGCGTCCATCATCCATTGTGTCGTAACAAGGTGTTCCAGGTCGTGGACGGGGAGAATAGGATGTACGCCATGCCGTTCACTGCGTCTCCCGATGGTGACGGATGTATACCGCCTCTCGAAAATGCGGTGACGCCGATGGAGGGCGAAGAAGAACCGGGGGCGATGATGTGGCAACTGTCGTTTCCAGTGACGGAGGACGAGGCGCGAAAACTCGCCGCGGATTCGCACCTCTTGCGCGAGGAGGCATTGCGACGGTGCGGAGGCTGGCCCGAACCCGTGAATCATCTGTTGTCGCAAACTCACGAGGATTGCATGGCAGGATACCCTGCGTATGATCGAGACATGACGCCGGCGAAAATGCTTCGCGGCGAAGAATCATCGCTCGTCACGCTCATCGGCGACGCGGCACATCCGATGTCACCCTTCAAGGGACAAGGCGCGAATCAGGCGCTCTTAGACGCCGTGCAATTGGCGAGACACATCGTCCGATCCCCAGATTATTTACTTCCGGGGGATCGTAGGTACGGGTGTGTCTTCCCTGTGTCGAGCACGCAGGAGGCGCTCTCGCTGGCGGAGCGACGCATGTTGGAGCGCGCGAAGGGCAAGGTTGAAAAGTCGCGCGATGCCGCAAAGTACCTGCACTCGCCAGCCGCGCTGGCCGAAGGAAATCGCGTACGCGCGCACGCTGCGGCTGAGGCGTTCGATTCGAAGCCAGAATAGAATAAAAAGTGTAAATTAATCTATAACGCGGTACACGTAAATGCAGAGCCAGCTTTAGGCTAGTTTCGCCGTTCGGCCACACTTATGGAGGTAGGAGAACATGTCGCGGGTGATCGGGAGCAGGCCGGTGTAGCCACCGTAACCGGTGTAGCGAACGCCCGCTTTCGCACACTCGTCCTTGATGATCGGCACCATCTTCGGGTACAGGTTGTGCGCCATGCCCGGGAAGAGGTGGTGCTCGATTTGCAGGTTCAGACCTCCAGAGAAGAAGCTCCAGAACGCGTTGCCCCAAGACGCCGATGTCTCGATCTGCCACGCCCCCCAGTCGTTCTTCGTGGACTTGTTAAGGTTAACGGGTGTCAGCGCTTCGAGGTTATGGCTGACGATGAAGAACCAGCACAGGACGAAGGAGCCGAATGCGCCGTACGCCAAGAATGGAACGATCGCGTTGGACAATCCGTGCAAGTACGCAGGAACGCCGAGGAGAAGACCAAAGTGTAAAACCTTACCGAGAACGTACAGCGCGACCTCGTTCGCCATCAATCCCTTGTACGCGACGCCCGGCGACGCTCGGTCGATCAGGATGTTCTGCGCGTCGCCAAACTGCGCCGCGAGCCACAAAAACGGCCACATGAGCGGGGCGTAAAACGCCTGGTATCGATGAAACCACTTCAACTCCTGAGACGGGTCCAGGCGCAGGAGCGGCAGTGCGGTGTACACATCCTGATCCAAATCCGCGTCGTTACAGTACGAGTGATGGCTCACCATGTGATGATACCGCCACTCCACCGAACTCTTACCGATGGCGACGTCGTTCCCGAGCCAACCCCAGAACTGATTCCAAAAACTGCTCTTCGTCAACCCGCCGTGGTTCGCGGTGTGTTGCAACCCAGTGCCCGACCAGTACCCCGCTAAACCGAGCACGCATCCGCTCATCAACGTCGGATTCCGCCAGTACGCCACCATGGCCGCGATATAAAACGCCAAGACGCAAAACGCGTCCACCGCGCACCCTCCGCGTCCGTGCGGCGTTCGCCCGCGCGTCTTTCTCAACGGCTCCACCACCTCATCCCGCACCCTCCGTTGAATCTTTCGATACAGCGCCGAATCCAACGGTCGCGGAAACGTCTCCTCCGGTCCGAACATCTCGCTCGCTCCCTCCACCGTCGGGAGCGTCTTCAACCAGCGCTCCACCACCTCGGGT